GCGCAGAACTCGTCAAAACCGGGTAAGGAGCGCGGGCGGGCGGGTGGGCCCTTCGCCGTTCCCGGAAGTTACTTACTTCCGGGTTTGCCGACCAAACAGTTCGCGGGGACCGCCGCGAACCGGTTGAAACCCACCCCTGCTCAAGGCCTTTCTCATATACGGGCACATTAGGTGAGCTCAGAATACAGAATAATAGGAGTTGGAAGAGATCTTGGAGGTCTTCTAGTCCAACCCCCTGCTCAAGCAGGAGACCCTACTAGACCAATTCAGACAAGTGGCTGTCCAGTCTCTTCTTCTAAAGCCTTCAGTGATGAAGCACCCACAACTTCTGTTCTCTCTGTTAGGAAATTTCTCCTTAGTTCTAGGTTGGTTCTCTCCTTAATTTCCATGCATTCTTGTCTTGCCTTCGGGTGCTTTGGAGAACAGGTTGACCCCAGGAGTGGGATTCTCCTACCTTCCTACCGATTGACAAATGTGAATGCACAAGCACGCTTGCTTCACTTATACGTGCCACTTCCGTGCATGGGCACAACCTTCCGCGCATGGGCATTTGGCAAAAGGCCTTAAATGGGATGCTGTAGAGCCGGGCCGAGTGGGCCGGGCCAACCACGATTTCTGTTACCAGTTTGGGTGATCTGATCCAAACCGTTAGAATACCATCACTGGTTGACCCCCTTCTTCTTTGTGGCAGCCTCTCAGATATTGGAACACTGCTATCATGTCACCCCTACTCCTTAGAGTAGAATAACACAGTTGGAAGGGACCTTGGAGGTCTTCTAGTCCAACCCCCTGCTCAGGCAGGAAACCCTACACCACTTCAGACAAATGGTTATCCAACATCCCCTTGAAAACTTCCAACATTGGAGCATTCACAACTTCTCGAGGCAAGTTGTTCCACTGATTAACTGTTCTAACTGTCAGGAAATTTCTCCTTAGTTGTAAGTTGCTTTCCTCCTTGATTAGTTTCCACCCATTGCTTCTTGTCCTGCCTTCAGGTGCTTTGGAGAATAGCTTGACTCCCTCTTGTTTGTGGTATCCTCTGAGATATTGGAAGACTGCTATTGTGTCTCCCCTCCTTTTCATTAAACTAGACCTACCCAATTCCTGCAACCGTTCTTCATATGTTTTAGTCTCCAGTCCACTAATCATCTTTGTTTGCTCTTCTCTGCATTCCTTCTAGAGTCTCGACGTCTTTTTTACATCGTGGCAACCAAAACTGGATGCAGTAGATCTTTCTTTTCTCTAGATGAGCTGAACCCAATTCCTGCAACCGTTCTTCGTATGTTTTGGCCTCCTGGCCCTTAATCATCTTCTCTATGCAAGCCACATATGATTATTTTCTTATCCAGGCTGTCACGAAGCAGCGAGCCAGTCTGCAGGAAAGGATGAGCCTTCTCTGACTACTTCTGTGCAACACACTGACATACACTGAGCCGAGGTGGCGCAGTGGTTAAATGCAGCACTGCAGGCTACTTCAGCTGACTGCAGTTCTGCAGTTTGGCTGTTC